AAAAATTAATATTTAAAATTTTAATAAAATTTTTTAAAAACTTATTAAAATTTTAAATATGCAGGCAAATTTGCCTGTGTTACAATTTAAGGGATAACATAATTTCTGTTCAATCTTTAGAAGAATCACCATAATAGCAACTTGAAAGTGCATTATTATAGAACTAGCAGGGAATCAGCTTGAATGCCAAAATAATATGTTTAAGAATAGGGTGCTGGCCAAATTTAAATAAATTTTTACTACATATACTGCATATACGGCTTCAGTCATATGAATTTAACTGACCCATGAGTAGTATTGTAATTAGCGATTAATTAGCCAATTGCTATTAACTATGTTATTCGCTAAATAATATAATTAGCAATTTTCAATAACATTTAGTTATTAGTGCTGATATACAATAATTTCACAAAATTTAATTAGATAAAAACAGATTTAATTACTATATATTATGATATACTGTATCAATATTTTTTATTATAGAATTAGAAATTTCATTTGTCATATTTTCGTGATTTTATTTTAAATATAATAATAAAAAAAAGTTTAAATTTTATTTATATAAATGAGTAGTAAAATATCATTAATAAAAAGATTTAAAATATTCCATTTAGTATCTTTATTATTAACCAGATATATAATTTCACCAGTTAATTCTAAAATATTTAAAGATAATAGTTTTGTTAAAGATAATTCTTTCTTAATTCCATTTAATTCTAATTCAAGTAATTTATCATAATTTTTTAAATTTTGATTCCAAATATCCTCTGTTATATCATTTTTTAATTCTATATTATCTAAAGTATTATTATTATTACTTTCTTTAATTATAGAATTATTATTTTCATTAAATAGTTGTATATTATGAAAAATTTGTATATATTCTTGAGCTTTCTTAATTTTATTTTCATAAATAAGTTTCGCTCAAAGTTGTGCCATTTTAAATGCTTTTTGAAACTTAAATAAATAAATTAAAATAAATAAATAATAATAAAAAAATAATAATAATTACATGTAAATAGCTTCAATTAAAATTATGCATATAACTTATATAAGATCATAGACATTCAACTGATGCAGAATTTATACATATTTCAAATATTCTACATGCAACCACTGATAAAGAAGGTGTTTCTTTTTTAACATAATCCCAAAAGCAACAAACATCCCCATTACCTATTTGTTTATAATCTAAATCTTTAAATAGAAATTCTTTCTTATGATATTTATCTAATTCTAAATATAAATTAATAGGTGCTTTTTTAAACCAAGTACAATAATAATAAAGCATCCATTTTTCTAAACTAATGTATAAAATATTAAATATATTAGAATTAAATAAAAATAATCTATATTCAGAATGAAGAAGTAAAGAAATTAATAATAATGGTTGTTTCCATAAATCCTAACATTTAAATATTCTATTTAATATTTTTTGTTCCAATTCGTAATCTTAAAATTTCTTAAAAATTCTTATAAAATAAGCAAATGATAATGTTATTTTATAAAGTTGTGCTTTATCACATTGAAGTATATTAAGACATGCACAAAATGGATATAATAAATTTAGAAGTTCTTCTATAGACAACCAAAAATTTTCACTATTAACTATTTGAATAATATGAGAATCTAATTCAGGTTTCTTATTAATTTTGGATTTATCTATATTTTCTAAAATAATACTTTCAGATTTTGTAATTAAGATTTAAATTTAAATTTAAATTAGTAATTAATATTATTAAATAATATATTATAAATATATTTACCTTAAGAGCAGATTTGATTTTTAATATATCAAAGTAACAATAATACCATGAATTCCAATATGTATCACATGACATCGATATATCATAAGTTTTATTATATAAAATTCTTTGTTTTGATTGTAATTTTCCAATTCAAGATTTCATATTTGCATTATTAAAAAATGTTGTCAAATATAATGCATCGATAAATATTTTCTTATATTTTAGTGACTCTTTATAAATTTCTTCAATACATAAATTAACTTGATATGTAAAATAAGGAAGGAAGATTATATCAGTATAAAGAACATGTAATCAACATCTAAATATTAATAAATAATTTAATAATAAATAAATTATTATTATTATTTAATAATAATTTTTACCTAAAAACGTCATAAGTAGATTGATTCACTATTGGTAACTATAGCAAGAATTTTAATATCTTGTTTGTTTAATTTATTTATAAATAATTTCGTATAATTCATTACTTCATCTGTTTTGATATTTAGTGCACTAATATTTTCAATTTTTCATATTAATGTTTTTCCTTCACTTGTAATTAATATACATCTTAAAAGTGTTTGATTTATAACATTGTTCTATCCATCGAAAGTAAGTGTTACTTCTTGATAAGCTGATTTAGCACACTTAATTATATCATTCATTATAATTTTAGAATTTAAATCAAGAATACGACTACTAAGTACTTTATGTCCTGGTAATTTGATAGAAGGTTGAAGATATTTAAATATTTTAATAGATTCTATATTTTCAACCCATCTAAATGCCCAACCATTTGCTACAGTCATATTTAATATAAGTTGTTCAAAATGTTCTTGTTCAGATTTTGATAATGATTGTTGAAGAATCCAGTTACATAATGTTGTTTCGTTAGAATTTTGATCAGAAGTTGAAATTTCTGATTGTGTAGTAGAAAAATCAGATAAAAATGAAGCTGTATCACTAACTATTATAAAAAAAAACTATTATTAATATTACTTAGTTAGTTAAAAAATATATTATTGTAATAATAAAATAACCTGATAAAACGGATTTTTTATTAAATTTTGGATCATTACGGACATCCAATATTTCTTCAACTTTTTCTTGTCCATATTTTTTATTAAAAAATAAACATTCTTTAAGATGATTTTTTACTCGTTCTTTTCGATTTTGAAATTTGGCACAATTTATATCCCATAAATTAGATGGTGTTCCTTCTTCGCAAGCCAAACATACACAATAATGATTAACTGAATTGGCTTTTTCGGATAAAATTCGTATAAAATCTGTTAAATAGTGTGTTGATTGACCACCAGTATGGTTTTTTTATGTAAATTGTTACTTGACTCCATATTCAATTAGAATCAAAGAAAGTTACAAAATTGTTTCGCTTTAATTTTTGATTTACTATATTATTTTCAAATAAACTATTAATAGCTTATTATCGTTAGATTATTTATTTAAATCTTAACTAAATATAGTATTAAATAGCATATTAGCCATTAGCCAATAACCTTATTGAAAATTCGCTAATGTTAATTGAAGATCTTTTAGCGTTTAGCATATATAATATGCCAACCTTGCCTCGCGGGTCAGAGAATTCGAAATGCAAAATATAAATCTCATTATTGGTTAAAGAATTGGTGCGATATGCATCACTATGCCCGACCTATTTGTTTGCCAAGTATGCCAATTTTGTGTCTGAGGTTGGAGTTGCAATTTGTATTACTAATTGTATGCCAATTTCGCATCCCGTAGTTTGAATCATTAGAGTGCATTCATATTGTATTTCCCCCTCCGGTGGCACATTTTCAGGCATATTAGGATACAAATTGGGACGATTTTTTTCGCATTGTGCTGTCCCCTAGGGAAAATTTTCAGTAGGGACAATTATGATATCAATTTTAGAAGTTTTATGTTTATTGATTATGTTCTTCTATGTTTGTCCCTAGTGTCCCTAGTAACTCTAGTAAAAATAAAAGTTCTGGGAAAAAATTCGAAACTTATCCTATGCTACATATGTATGGTATATGTATGGTATATGGATATTATATAGATGATATATGCGTAGTATACATATTCTAAAAAATAAAAAAAGCTGAGGGTAGGGTCCCTAGGGACACCCACCTAGAATGCTTTCCGGAAATCTAAAATCATCAAAAAGCCTCCCAGAATTGTTCCCTCATTTTTTCTAGTGACAACTTTCTAAGGCCAGCTCTCAATCGTATCAGACATTTTCATTTTATCGGGAGACTGTTTTAATGCTTCTGGGGTCTGACCGTTCTGATACAACTCATCCAACTTCTTTCGCTGATAATATGCATTCGAATGACACTTATTTACGTGCATATTACATAATTCATATATCGATGCTGTCGGTCTTCTACACTGCTTGCAAGGAGTTCGCATCCAATATCCTACTTCACATAGAGAATTTAGTAATGAAAATTTCGATTATTATGGAATTACAACGAGAAAATATGTCCATTATGCAAGTTAGAGCATGGTGAAGAAGAAAGTTTATATAAAGTCGGATCTTATTTTATTAAATGTGAACGGCGTGAAATTGAGATATCATTATTTTATGATATATTCTATTTGCTCACGCTTCATTGTGTGATATTTTTTTAGGGCTAATTATGTCAACTATTAGTCTATTAAAAAGGCAATATGAGCAAGTCCAATAAAGTATTAAAAGTATTATAAACAATCACGTACAATCACTATTTTTCGTGAATCAAATCATTCTTCGATTACTTATGACATTAAATTTTTTCAAGTTTTCTGAAACTTCTTTAGATATTTTTTTCCTAGGTTTATAATCTTGTATCTTCGTTTCAAAATACAACTTTATTGGTTCACCTAAAGCTTCCAAAATGACACCATCATTAAGGTCTATAATGCCGTAATCGAGCGATGTTTTTGTTTTCGGTCTTGTTTTTTGTGTAAGTCTAGAGGTCTTCCTTCTATGTCAATATTTTCGAATATCGGGTAAAATTCCACGGTGACCAAACCAATGAGGGTCGAGGACGTTTAGCATTCCGGTTTGGTGGTGGTGTTGTGGGAACATCAACTGTAGCAGAGTCTGTTTTATAACTATAACTGTCAAATGATGATGATGATAGCGGTTGTGACATTATGAAAGCATCACGAGGTGGCGATGTTGTGGGTGTTGTGGAGGGTGAATCCAGTACAGATAGCACTTTCTAAAATTTGAAATTCAGAAATTCTTAATTAATCAAACCACTATATCGACGATTATAATTACATTAACATCTTTTTCGCGATTCTCAAGCATTTTCAAATACAAAGATCTCAAGTCAGTATACCAGTGTTAAGAAGCACAGAACAAATGAATGAGCGTACATTTTCGAACTCGTTTTTTAATTCAATGAGATCTTGTTTGCGCTGATACTCAGTCTTCGCAATAGCAATTTCCTCATCCGTTGAACCTTCTTCCAGAATAAATCAACACTAGTCGAATACATCTGGTGAATGATCATATTAAAAGTTAGTATAATTATTCACTGAAACACTCGGGTTTATACGCACCTCTCTCTGCAGAGATTTAGTCACCTCTATCACTTTCATTGGCGCATCCGATGCTAAAATTGTGTTTAAAGAGTTTGTAACCCTTTGGTGGAGATCTCTATCCAGCTGTGATAATTGGAGTTTTCTCTCCTTGGAATTTGCAAACAAGAGAAGAAGAATTGTTAGAAAGGAAATAAGAATCAAACTTTTTCTTGAGACTATCTTGTGGTTCGTAGTTATCATACAATTTTAAAATCACGCTAGATTTCAAAAATTTTATTTCTTCAATATCTGTTTCTCAGGAGCCTATTGAAACTCAACAAAAACGCGATTTTTTATGGACGCGTTCAGAAGGTATTACAGATCCCACCGTTCACGCGATATGCTAAATGATAAGCCACACTTTCATGAAAAAAAGTTCTCCTCATCCTTTCTAGTCGTGTTCACACAAGCACTGTGGACTAGCTGTTATTCGTTGGTTGACGAGTCACCCCGAGATGTCATCGAAAGGGTGAACGTGAAGGAGCTCTTTCTAGCCCGACCGTATCAGCTTGTTCATGCAAGCATTGTGGACTAGCAGTTATTCGTTGATTGATGAGTCATTCCGGGATGGCTTCGAAAGCCCTAAATCTTTGCCCGCATTGAGCTTAATTTACATGCATATGTTATATGTAGGTGGTATGGATGTGTATTTGCAATTGTGCATGGAATAATAAAAAGGAATATCGTTCATATGTATTTCTTATGTATTATTAGCGATAATATAGAAATGTATCACTACCAAATAATTTTTTCATTTAGGTGACATTAGATAATAAAATTTTTTCCTGGTGCGAATCTAATGTCAGTGGAACTTCTGTCTTATCCAACATGATGAGCGAAAGGTTTATCCTAACTTCGCCACCCGAGCGTATGGAGGGAGAGAATATAGGAATCCAACAGATGAAAGTCAATTAAGATGCGTTAATTGTTCTAAGGACCTTTCTTTGTGTCTTCCTCCTCTAGACTTTCTTCGAACCTTTCTTCATCCTCCACTAAAACTACTCGTATATTTAACCTGCAAACATTATAATTGCATCGATAAGCTGTGTCATATGTGCCCATCAATTGAAATGGAAATTGATGACAATGATATAGTAACTGATGCCCAGGAGTCGAATACTGCGCAGATAAAACGCAATCGGGAATCTACTGCCAAAAAATCTTCCAGCAAGAAAAAGAAGGCACCCAATAAGGAAGGTGTTTCTACTTTTCTGAAGAAGCTTATCGAGGAGCTGTCAACTAATACCCCCGATTCTGGAAGAATCGAATATATTGGATGCATCATCAAATACTGGAATATTTTTACATTTCTCTAATACAGTATGATAAAAAATGAGAATGCAACGCGAAATGTCATCGATATTTCGAATTTGGAAAAGCTTTGTATTTGCGATATAAGGAATTATTAACAAACTCCCAAAACGAAATTTTCTGATGATGTTTGATAGCATCCTTAGTATTTATCCGTGAAAATACAGAGGAGTGCGCAAATAAACATCTGAATGAATGCATTGCTAAAATAGAGCTAAGGTTCATCATATATATTAGATCTGTATTATGAAACGAAAAAGTAAAAAGCGCTTAGTCATAATGAGATTGATAAGCTTTATGATGTTTATTTATCATACAAAAAAAGCTATGAAGGTCATTATCCTAGATGGTCAGGATTAAGGAATCCAACAGGCTTGGTGGAGTTATAAGTTGGGACCAGAGACAAGGGCACAGCGAGTCTGGAATATAGTGAGAAATGATAGTACTTCTTATAGAAAGAAATTTTGGGGTATTTTCACAAAACCAAAGATACTGTATTATTTTTTTTATATATTTAATTTATGTTTTTTGCTTTGGAATTACATAAAGTCACATGATTACATAATATATATTAATTTTACTAATATACATAATAAAAAATGGTTCTTATTAAATTAAAGTATTAAAGATTAATTGATTGTTTGAAAGAATTAAGCTAATTTTGATTTTTGAATTTGGGATTTTGTTATTGTTAAAATAATATAATAAAGTATATTATTAAAGATTTAATTATAAAAATTTAATTAAAACTATGTGTTTGTATTACATAAAGAAAATTTTATTAATAATAAGATTTTAAATTAAATATAATCTCCAATTATTTATTATATATTACTTAATAATTTTATTATAATATTGTTTTTGAAAAATATTTAAATTTAATTTTATTATATATAGTTAAAATAAATAAAAGATCCAATAACTTTATTATATTTTTTTTTGAAGAAGCAAATGACTACTATGATTTATTTTATTATTATAATTTTAAACTTGCAATTACAAGATTTATAATATGATTAATATGACATACATCTCTCTTTGCTAGAAAAAATTAAATACAAGGCCTACAAAAAAATCATATCTCTAGGTCTCTTGATACCACTTAAAAAATACAGTAAAAATAAATTTAAAACTTATATTATAGTCTTGAATAGTGTCTAATTAACTAGAAATTAATTGGAATACTTAATTACATAAAGGTGCTACAGTTACTTTATACAGATTTGTCTTCAAGTTATAAATAAGACTGATATACTTGCTTTTCAAATGTGACTTAATGTTTAACAGATAAAGTAATGTTGAAAGTAATTGAGTTACTGTATAATTACCTTTTTATATAAAAATACTATAGTTACTTTATACAGATTTGCTTTCAAGTCATAAAAAAAATTTGACATACCTATTTTTCAAATATAGTGAAAATCTTCTATGTGTAGAGTTTTGTTTTGGGATTTTTTAAAGGTACTAGTATCTAATCTTGTACAATAAGACCTATATTGTTGAAAAGTAAGCAAGAAACTTTTGTTATCATTATCAGCTCATATTATGAAAATAACTAGAATCTCTAATCTTCATATATTATCTTATTAGGTTTTCCAATTATCAGCATAATACCTGAAAACTAACCTAGCTTATTGTTAGTTACATTGATATTGGTTACCATATTGTTATTTTGGATACTATATGACACAACTTCTTGAATACTTTTGAATAATAATAATTATATATCAGTTTTTTAAATATATTTAATTTAACTATTAACAAGTAAACAATATCAAATTAGATAATGATGGCCATATCAATTTTTTAAAAATGTAACCCATTTGTCTTTTTTTTGAAAAGTTATAAAAAAAAATTTTTTTTCAAAGTTTATATTCTATAAAAACCTTGTCACTTCTTATATGATTCCTGAAAGAAGAAAGTCTACTGATCAAATAAATGATGAGATAAGAAATGATATATTGAAAGGAGAAAGAGATCTAGAAAAAAAAAATCTTCAAAAAGAAGAAAAAACACCACTTTAGCAAGGAAAGGAAAGAGAAATATATAAGAGAAAGTTTGTAAAAAGAAAAAAAAAAAAGTATAAAGAAAAGGAAGTGGAAAGAAAAAGGAGAAAATAAAAAAAAAGTAAACAATTCAAAAATTTTATAAAAAGAAAATTTTCAAGCATAAAAAGATAAATAAAAAAAAATCTTTTTTTTTTAAATCTGATAACTTTATTTTTATTTTTATTTTTTTTTATAGATAAACATCATTTCTTTATTTAATTTGTATAATGATAAATATACATTGTGAAAGAAACAACATCTTTTATATGTAATAATACAATGAGTTAAATGCTAGCTTGTCTACAGTAACCACTAGACTAATATTGAAAAGAAATTTTAAAACAATATATCATATCAAGAGGCTCAAATCTAATAACTTTATTTAAATATATTATTAAAAATGTTATTAAGAAAAAATTTAAAATATTGAAAATAATAAAAAAAATATTTTTTTTTTTTGAAAAAACAAAAGATTATTACACTTTATTTTATTATTATAATTTTAGACTTGTGAGGGCAAGATTTTTAATATATTTACAATATAATATATATTTCTCTTTGCTAGGAAGAGTTAAATACAAGACTTTGCAAATACAGTCTATCTTTTATACTTTTTGGCACCACTTAAAAATATAGAAAAAGAATTTCAAAACTTATATTATATTTTGAATAGTGTCTAGCTACCTAGAGAAAAATAATTATCTAATTATATGAAGGCACTGCAACCACTATATACAGGTTTGTCTCCAAGTTATAATTAGAATTGATATGTTTGCTTTTCAAATATAACTTGATATATAACAAGCAGAGTAAGTATTGGTTTTATATTATACTAAACTTAAGTTATATCAAAATAAAATCAGTCTTTTACTATTTGCACCTAGCATTGACCCTCTATTTGAACTTATTACTAGAACTAAAAACTAGAAGACAGCAATTGTTTTTATTATTAAAACAATTCTAATACAAAATTAATCTTTCACCAACTATACCTGACATTAATCCCCTATTTGAACCTATTATTAGAATTATAGACTAGGAAGCAGCAATTAATCTTATTGTTAAAATAACTTTGAAGAGTATATTTTGGATTTAAGGTAAGCTGAAACTGGAGAGTATATAAGAAATTTAGATATAAAATAATAATTTGTTAAGAAGGATGTCAGATGTATTGAAATTAGTGTTTCTTAAAAGTATTGATACTTAACCTTATACAATAAGCCTATATTGTCAGAGGAATAAGTGAAAAACTTTCGTTGTTATCATTAGCTCATATTGTAAAGGTAACTAGAATCTCATATTTATAAAGCTTTCAATTTTGCTTAAAAATTGACAAAGCTTGAACTTTTACATCTAATATTTTTTTCCTTCTAATTTGGTCTGGTGTGAGCTTTTGATTATCTGTTTGAGTGGGAGTGCATTCCCTTGAAGATTGTTTAGTTCTTCTTGCTCTGGGCACCAAGTAAGGAAACCTAATTTCAATAAAAAAAGGAAAAAGAGAAGGAGAAGAGTGAAGTATATAAAAGAGTATATAAAAAGAAAGAGTAAAAATAGGAAAAATAAAATAAAAAAGTATAGAAGAAGAATAATAAAAAAAAAATGAAAAAGAAAAGTAAAAAAGTAAACAACTTAAAAATTTTCTTTTTAGAAAATTTTTAAGTATGAAAGAAGAAGTAGGAAAGAGTTTTTTTGGGAGGGTTTTCCTATAGGTAAATATCATTTCTTTATTTGATATTGTATATAACAAGATATATATCATGAAAAAAACAATATCTCTTATATACATAAAGTAGCAAGTTAAATGCTAGCTTGCTTACGTATACACATCTAGCTAATATTGAAAAAGAAATTCAAAACAATACTATATACTAGCTGTACCTGAATAGTGACTATACCTACCTACTCAGAAAATTTAATGAAGTCTTTTTGTATTTTTTATTTTTTTGAATATAAGAAAAATAAAAATATATATAATGATAAAATAACTAGAGCTGAAATTAAATTAAATAAACAATAAAATTTTTGACAGTAAAGTTGGTGTAGCCAGAGAAACCCCTTGCCCAATTGTAGGAATCGGAGTCTAAAGTAGGAAAAAGTTTTAATTAATAAAAAAAATAATTATAATAAATCAAATTAAATTAGATATATAATTTAAATTTAAATTAGATTTAATATAACTTGATTTGATTCAATTTAAATTTGATTTGAATTTAAATTTATTTAACTTTATTTAATTTATTTTTGATTTATTTAATTTAATTTAATTTGTTTAATATATATTAATTTATTTAAATTCAAATTATTTTTATTTATTTTAATTTAATTAAGTAGGTTTTAATTAATATATCTTAATTTAATTAAGTAGGTTTTAATTAATATATTTTTATTTTTTGTTATTAATTTTTTAAATATTTACAAGACATATAAATTTGTCAATAATTATTTATATTGATAATCCATATAATATATATATATTTTAATTAAATTTCAAAATATAATTTATTTTTTAATTAGCAATATATGGTATTTTTTAAATAATATATATAAAATTTAAAT